GCATTTTGTATGCTGAACTCATGTATGGATTCTATCTGTTCCCATCACGCCTGATTTTTGTGTGCCATACAGCATCATTATTTAGTAACTCGTATAATCCTACGTATTTGAAAATCGCGGAACATTGCGTAAAATGTCAGAATTGCTGATTTCCTGGAATATGTTGCTCGAAAGACATTCCATTTGAGTATCCAGCTACGATCAACCAGTATATCAACACTCCACTTGGTGTGGTATCGTTTCTCCACATATGAAATGTTCTGATGAAATCGCTCAACATGTTTGTCAGTTACAGCACCAAGATTTTCCGGAAAAACCCCAGACGAGAGTTCGGGAAATGGATTTTTAAGGACATGTGAAAACGGAATATCCTCTTGGGTTTTACACTCTCATATTATACGCTCTCATATTAAAGACATCTCTCGAACGGTCGCAAGATCAGCCCTGGGCAATTAAATAAAATTATTATTTGCCTCATATATAATACGATCCTTTGCTATTAGGATTTCATTCTTTTGAATATATTAAGCACAAATTAGATTCACCCTATATACTTATACTACTGTTGACAAGTAATACAAAGCATTATTACATAGAAGGTATGGGTGATGGAACAAATCTGATTGCAGATTCGAATTCATCATCGAAAAATATGTAAGAATCAATGTAAATGTTCCGTGTGACAAAAATCGTGTAATCGTATTCGATGTGCTTTATTTTACTGAAATACGTATTGCAGTTTTTAAAACTAATCTTAATTTTACTTTTACATTATAGAAATTTTACTTTTAAATTATAGAAATATAAAAACTACAATTACTGATTTTTGATATTTACAATATAAAATGAATGAAATATGAAAAGAACTATTTCCGTGCACTTGTATAATATTTAACACGACTTTAAAAATCTCAATTATTACGATATTTAATTTCGCTCCTTATTTTTTAAACCGCAATATATGCATGTGCTAGTAAATACTTCTTAAGTAGATCAACACACTAACATAAATTTCCATGCGAATACCTTCCTATTATGTGCACATGTACTTTTCTGCAGTCTTAAACCTCGTCTACACTGATAGACATTGTCTGCAGATATTGTCCGCCAACAGTCGCCAGAAGTTGTTCTAGTAGACTGTCTGCAGGTAATGTCCTTTGTCCAGTAGGAGTAGGCTGAGTACCAGGCGTGTCATTGAGTTAGGGATGTGTTGGAGATGAAATCTATGAATGTTGAAATTTAGGAATCTTTGTAAGGTACATACCTTAAACTTTTTAAATCCTGATTTTTAAAGAATAAATACATACATCCACTTGTGGAGTCGCATATCGTATAAATAATTAACATTGTAATGACGAAAATAATCTTTTACCAAAAAAAACTACCCCAGGATTTAATGACTTTTATTTATTTATGTTTTTCAACCATCTCAAAGGTAACAGTTTTTCGACATAAATACATAGGTTCGTAACTTTTTATAGAGAATGTCATGACTGATTAATGTATTAAAAAATGATTCTATTAAAAAGAAACGAAGTTGACCTTTGTTCGATTTCCGAATTGTTTTTTATGATATATGTACAAAGAGATGATACGTGACTTTGCATTTTGCAGTGATTTCGACGAACAACATGCGTTTTCGCCTTCCCTTGTCTCGATAACAAATACTGTATCATACATCTCATCACCGTACAACGGAATCTTTGCTTCCCAAACGGGATAAAAAGCACATTCCATTTACATTCCACCCGCAGACATTGTCTCTTGTTTTTCATTGGAATGAAAAACAAAATAAGTGTTCACGGACTTTTCTTCGGATGACGTATGTCTGTCGACTTTTGTTTTTCAGTGTGGACTTAGCTTTACTCAACATTTGTTATCACATGTAACCTTATCGAGTCAACGCAAGAATGAAAGTTGCAAATAGCATAGTAAAATTTTGATGAAATTGCTTCAAAGACGAGCTTCGAAATATGTTTTCTTAAACATTATAGTGATAAAAAAAGAGACATTATTATCACTAGCCATACATTTACACGTATATGTATATATAATTAATAATTATAATACAATGATGTTGTGACTTTTTTCGTAAAACGATGTCAGCCTATTCTATGTGTAAAAATAAGAAAATATATTATATATTTCTTTAAAAAGTTACAAAACAACGATACAATATAACAACGGATTAATGATTTTTTGTTGAATAAAGAACAGAAACAGATAAGCGATGTTTATATTTGTTCTACTTCAAGTAGAATACAAAAAATTAAGAAATACAAAAGTTACATTTATTACATAGTGCATTTCTTTGTGATCTTTGATCTCGATGTGGCGTATTAATTCTTATCGTGCAAACTATTTTTAAAGTTTCTCACAAGTAGTGTAATATAAAATGATCTCGAGATAGAAGCAATTGATCTTGTTCGACCTATTCGTTATTCGGGTAATTTTCATCTATTCGCTGGATTCCAGGTAATAAAGCGGAATAAAACAGTTTAAAACTTTGGAGGTTTATTCGGATACATTCGTTGCATGATTATACAATAATCTAATTTTTATTAGAGTCAATAGAAGAGTCAATTAGAATCAGAACTTTGTCAGCATGTTTGGTAAATTATTCCGAGTCAAAAAGATCGTATACACTTTGAGTTTTCGCCCATACGTTTTCGAGTTATTTCGAAAAATATTATAGTTTCCATATGTTATGATGTATATGCTATAGTAAAGAAAATTATCGTAGTTCAATTTATGCAGTAGTCGATGATAATTTTCTAATTAAACTATGAACGATAGCGTATTTTTTAAAGACACCGAACTTTATTACTATTATTTGCCAACTTTCTGATGTACCTATTTAGTATTGGACGTGTACCGAATATTCAGGTGTTTTGCTAGATATTCAAACGTTCCTTTTACTATATTCGATTCGGATGATTTTATACATAAGGGTAGGACTATTATCTATTTATCTATTCAATTATCTATTTAACGTCACTTTATATTTTCAATAAAAGTTTCTGAAAGAGATACCAACAACATAGAAACCTCACAAAAAAGATGGTTTTCGGAAGATGTTTGTCCCATCATTACATGTACCTCGCGAAATCATGTAACTTTGTCTTAAGGATTCTTTTCATAAAGTCATAAATATAACGGAGATATGTAGATGCTATCATTTGAATAACGCACTATATATTCGACATATACTAAATATTTACATGTTTATTATAACGAATTTGACAAAAATGGTTGGAAAAGATAAATTACAGTTGAGCTTGCGTAAAAAAACTTAGTTACAACTTAGACATTTAAAAATACAAAATTCAAATAGTTTACATAACTAGAAATATGCAACCTATTTCTAAGATATTTAATAATAGAAACATATGAATTTTATCATTTCACTTACACAATAACCTAACAACTAACTGTGTTTAAGTTATTTACAACATGTTGTTTATCGTAACACCATAAGTTTTTATTTCTTCAGATATTGCAGATTTCCTTTGAAGTATGGTACAAAAATAAACTTTTTAGATACCAGTTTCTCATGAAAAAGATGCTAGACAAAAATTCATTATCAATGATGAAGAAACTTGAGTATTTTTAGATTCCTGATTAACGAATAGTGACGTGAGTGAAAATTTGTTTTTTTTAACAATATTTGGGAACAAAAATTTACGATCACTTATAATTACAATATTTTTTATATTTGGTGAATTATTAATAAATTATAAAACTTGAATTATTTTCTAAGAAAGTAATTGAATTTTTTAATCGTAGAATGTTATTTTGAATCCACTTGAAGTTTGAAACACTCACTAAGAAAAAGATGGTGCGTTAAATTTAGAATATTAATATCGTTCTCTTAATATCGTTCCCAGAGGAGCAAACTAAAATTTTTATTTAGAATATTATTTAAATCTTTTTATCTAAATCTTTTTTTATTTAAATCTAAACTAACCTGAATTTTAAAGTAATTGGAATAATGTTAATGTCATTCTAAAATCACTAACCACGATGAAATCTTTGCCAATTAAGAATTGATGTTTTTTTGTTCCCATGATTGGTCATAGTTAATGCTTTTTTATTTCGCTCTTTGTTTTTCGGTTCGGTATGTTAAGAAAATTCGACTCATCTCCGATAGAACCTACGAAAGTAACAGAACTTTTTGGTTCAGAGAAAGTTGACTGAAGTTGTTCTAATTCTGTAATACAAGATCAAAATTCATCTCAAATCTACAATACGTTAAAACAGGCTCAGAGATATAAGTATGCAAGATCCAGTTGAATAACATATATAGGAATGTTTATTATAAATTAACGGCAAAGACAGTATGATAAGCACAATATTGTTACACTCTCACAAAATCAAATATAATATCGCGTTTTACCAATTCGCTTATCACTATTTCTACGTCACAGCAACACGATGAACTTCTCTCGACCACGATTAATTCAACTCTGACAGCATTACCACGCTCATTTTTCCTTTAACAAAGCTTGGTAACGCTCACAACACTCCTTGACAACATTAACATATCTTGACAACGTTTATAAACAATCAGCCACATCTTTCCCTAACGTCACACCATCCCATAACTTCGGCCATTCTAACAAACACATCTGCCCTCAGATGTGCCCAGTAATACTAATTACACTTACGCTCCTGATTTCTTCCTATTCTGCATCGATTAACAGCCTCAATGGATAAGGATCATCCTTCGTTGTCTTCAAAAACGTCACCTTCTTCTTCAGCTTCGGCCTTCCTGTACTAATAACTCTTCTACTGTATTCCGATTAAGCGAGTCCACATGACGCATCGCCGTACCTGGTCTATGCTCGATTTTATAATCAAATTGTACAATTAAAAGTGCTCAATGCGCCATTCGCGAACATATACCTTTCTTTTAATATCTTCTATCGTTTCTGCAGCTTTTTGTAACTGCTTTTTCAAAGTACTTGTACTGTGTTCAAATTGCTTTTTCATATCTTCTATCAACGTATTCTTTTCTCCAAATCCTTCGTCGCACGTTCTATTTCTGTCCGCCAACTTTTCTCTGATTCTTTATGAACCGCGTTTTCTTGTTGATTTTCTTTCAATTTTGATTGCAATTCAGTTTTTTGATTTATGTATTGCTCCATAATTATTCTTTTCTCTTGCACCTCATTCTCAAGATTATTTCTACTTTCCTCCCAATTTTTATTGCGACTCTGTAAGTCTTCGATTTGCTGCGTTTCTTGAGTAGTAGCATTTGAGACTTCATTGCGAAGACGTGTCATTTCTTCTTCTGTTTCGAATAATTTTATGCTATCACGTTCTAGTTGACCGACACGTTCTCTTTCTTCCAGCAACAGCTTTTCGATATCTTTGATCTTATTTTCATTTACAGTATTTATCACAAATTGCTCTCTTCTTTCTTTCTGAATATCATCCTTGTTAACAGATTCTTCCTCGAAACGAAACTGGAGATCTTCACACTTCTTCTTCTCTTCCTCCAATTGTAAAGCTAGTGCATTTTTCTCTTCGAGTAATTTTGAAAATGCAACCTCCGCGTCAGTAACGGTTTTTTGCATTTTCTTGCGATACTGCTCATATTCTTTTACTAAAATAAGCGACTGTTCTGCCTGATCTGCTTGATTTGCGGCTTTCGTAATTCGTTCACGTTCTAAATCTCGTTCTTTTCGGAGAATCTCGATTTCCTGTTGTTTCTCCTTTAACGTTTCTCCTTTGTTCTGCTGACAATCTCCGTCGGTTTTGGTATACTGGTGTATCATCTTCAAGTATGATTTTCATACGTACACCTGTGTCCTTTGTCTTCGTCACTGTATATTCACTAATTAAATTTTTAATATCGTCTCTGGTTTTTCTATCTTCAATATGGTCCAATTCAACCAGATCTCGATTGTCTTCTTCACTACATACGTCTATATTTAACATTTCATTCCATTCACTATCTTCAGCAACAAACTGGTTCTCACGTTGTTCTTTTTAATTTGTTTAAACTTTACCTGTTTATGTTTCACTCTTACTTCCATTTGTTCAGTTAACTCAATACCTAATAGTACATCGTATCCTAAGAAGTTATCAGGAACTACGTCAAAGTCTAGCGTTGCCTTTAAACCGTCAATCATTATATCCGTTTTAAATTGTCCCATGGTATGTACGTTCACGGCTCCTATACTATCGAATTTAATTATTCTGTTCTCAAGTTGAGGTGCTCCTAAACGCAAATACATACTCATTCTCACTAAATTTAGATCACTACCTGTGTCTATCTTTGCCACTACATTCTTGTCCATAATCTTAATTTGCTTGAGCCCTCCTTTATTTTCATTCCGCCACCCATCACAACGCGTCTTAACCTTTAGTATATTCGCATAGTTTGTTGAAATGTGTCCGAATTCTCTACATTTAAAACATTTAGGACCTCTCGATTTGTTTGGAAATTCAGCACTTACATGTTCTTTATCGCCGCAATTATGACACCTTCTATATTTCACTACACTTCCAGATTGCCTGTATTTCCTGTTGTCCTCAGCTCTGACCAGTCCCACAGATGACTCTGCTATACGAGATTTTTGTTCCTCATAGGTGATTAGATTTTCCTTAAGTTCTTTCATTGATTTTGCCCCATATAGTATTGCCTTATTGACTTCTTTGTCTCTTATTCCTTCTACGATGTACCGCATTTTTGCTGCTTCTTTCATATTCATGTGACTAGCTATCCCAAGCATACGATACATGTAAGCCGTACATCCTTCGTCATCTCGTTTTTTCGTCTCTTGAAGTCTATGGTGTACTTACCATGTATTAAATTTTTTCGAAAATTCTTTTATTAGACTTCTTTTTAATTCACACCAAGTTCTAGCATGGCACTCATAATTTACAAATATTTCAGCTGATCCTCTCATCAACTTTTTTGTACAGATTACTTTTTGTTCCTCTGTCCACATACACATGCTTGCCGTTTCTTCAAATGTCCTGAACCATTGATTGATATTTTCGTTGTTTTCGTCCGTAAAAACTTCTAAGGCGTCTTGGACATCTTGAAAACTCAATGTTGTTCGCCTACGTGTCTTTCTACAGCATTCGCAATTCTGATGTCCATCTCGCACGCTCCTGCGTTCACTTTCACCCTTTTCATCGTCTTCCGTTTCACTCTCGTAGTCGGTTTCTTCCTCCGACGACGCATCTTCTTCTAAGACCGCCCGTAAGACTCACGTAATTCTGCTTTTCTTCCTTTTGTCTCTAGCCCCATACTAGCTAGACGTTCTCTCAATTCCTTCGTCCTAAGCCTCCCGAGATTTTCGTCTACATCTCGATCATGCTTAGTTTTTGGTTTAGTACATGTACCTCGCTTCTCCGCGGACCTTTCACTACTCGCTTGTTCTTTAAGATTTGATTGACCTGCACCAAGTGCTCTATTTAGCCTGGCCATCAGCACTGACCTTGCCCCAGATATCGGTATATTCATCTGAGCAAGCTTATTCCTCAATTCTCCCATTGTTAAATTTTCCTCGCTTGAAAATTGTTCCTCCTCACAATTTGCTATCTTTGACTTCACAATAATTTCTTCAAATACACACAATATTATTCACAACAGCTAACGATCTTTTATCACATTTCCCGAAATTTAGATTGGCACGATTTAAAACTGGACGAGCCCCCAATTTGTAGGAATGTTATATTATTAGTTAATAGAGAACAGTATGATAAATACAATATCGTAGCACTCACACAAAATCGAATATAATATCGCGTTTCGCGTATTCGTTTCTCACTAATTCTACGTCACAACAACACGACGAACTTCTCTCGACCACGATAAATTCAACTCTGACAGCATTTACCACGCTCATTTTTCCCTTAACAGATTTTGGTAACGCTCACAACACTCCTTGACAACATTAACATATCTTGACAACGTTTATAAACAATCAGCCACGTTATTCCCTAGCGTCACACCATTCCACACATATACAAGCGGGTATGAGGTAATTTCTTATGAAAAAATAAGAAGAAGATATACAATAAAATTTTCTCATATAACGCTTCGTTTTCGAGAAAATCGAGTTCAAAAATTTGTCGAGTAGATATTTTTGGAATATGTCTAATTCCAGACTGAATAGAAGTAAATAGAAATAAATAATCAACAGGAAGTTATATTATATACGAAAATAGATCGAAAATGTCGAATAAAATTTATTCACAAGCTTTGTTACTAAGAAAATCATGTTTAAAAATTTGTCACATACTAGGTACTAGTACTGTACTAGGTTTATTCTTAATAAAACTCTGTTCAAACTCTGTTCACATCCAATCTTCTTTAAATGAAGCCTTAAACGGACAAATTTTATTCTACATTTTTTACTTATTTTTGCATGTAAACTAACCTTCTGCTGATTGTTTATTCACCTTCAGTCAATAATTGGCCAGGTTCAAGTATACTTGAAAAATTTTCACACTCGGTTTTTTTCATAACTAAGCGTCGAACAGAAAAATGTATTCCATAGGATGCCTTGAAATGTTTGGGACAAACCTTAGGAGTAGGTAATACTCATCAAAATAAGCAAAAGGGTCTGAACAAACATGGGTCGAAAAACCATTAGTTTCGATGTTACGTTCTTACTTACGGAAGCGTAAGCCTGGTGTCACATAGGAGACACAAGAAATCACGAAATTGGCAGATCACCGGCGATCTCCTCGCATCGCAGTTCGAACGTTTCACAAATAAGGTAAAGAATTGAACTTTAGATATAGGTTTGGATTTGGCAGGGTTCTTATACTGAGGTTCTAGTCCTTCTGGAGAAGTTATCATCGAGCGTATATCAGAAACGGCTATTCCGTTAATATCTGATTATTGTTTCGATAGCTGTTGCATGCAGGATGTTTTGTCTACCCCATTACTGCTTCTGAGCGTGTGACACTGGCCACCTCACGGCGGTTGGATTGGAAAGATTAAACCAAACACAAGCCTGATACATCGATGATATCCACTTTTAATTGAATTACAACAGACATTTCTTACAATCTCGAATATGCACGTTGTGCATGGACCTTTAAGGATAGCCGATACTGACGCATACCCTACCATAACCGCAAAACTATAGACACGATTCACTGTCCGGTATCAGCATTTCTTCGCGAATATCTCTACCTACCTATTAGTGTAGGAAAATATTATTCAAAATGTTTATTTACAGTACATAAAAAAATCACCGAAATAGGAGAGTAGTTAGCTTTTCTATTGTTTCACCCTTTAAAATTTGTTAAATTTTGCATTTGTCAAAAGCGGCAGTATGTTTATACATTAAATTTGACAATCTAAAATTAAAATATCTGCTAAATTAACGGATTTTCGATATAGATAGGTTAATACTTGTTTGTAGAGAATATTCAGCTGGATCGACTAATATTATACAAAATATTCATTTCAGGTAGCTGAGTCAGACGCTACGTTATGCACGTATAGACTTCAGCCGAATAACACGTACGAGCCAGCATAACGCGATTGCTTATGAAAAAATAAAAAGAAAACATGGAATAATATTTGTTCACGCGAGGCTTAATTCTCGAGAAAATCGAGTTTGAAAATTGGTCAAGTATACTTGGCTCATTACCGACTAAATACGAGCAGAAAATTAGCAGAAGGCTATTCTATGCGGGAGAATAAGTAAAAAAACGTAATATACAATTTTTTCGTTGAAGACTTTATTTTCAAGAAAATAATGCCTGAACGTATTTAAATTGAGAATTGGCCCGGTACACAATTTTCAAATCTATTTCTCTCAGAAACGAAGCGTCTTGTGAAAAAGTTTCAAGTGCGGGTAGACGTAATATTTTCTCTACCCGTTAGTTAATTTCACAATTTTTGCAGTAAGATTAACTATGAATCAACAATAAATATAAAATAGTGTAAGAATTATAAGTTAATTATACTTTTACTATAATTGCATTCACAGCAGTTTGGAACTTTTCAGTTAATGCTATAATTTAAAAAATTATCGTCCACTAAGGATAATTTTCTGTTTCAAATTTACTTCTTATTGCATGTGCATATGTAATGCAATATATATTATTTAAGCATAAATTCCTAAGGAAAAATGTTTTGCAAATGTTTTTATTTAAGATGAAAAAAGTAGTTTTATGTAACAAAATTTGCACTCAACGTGTAGTTCAGTTTGAGTCTGTTTAAAATGCCCAAGGGCACAATATAATTTTCTAAATTGACCACCATTTTTCGCAAGAAAAGATATCAAGTAAAAAAGAAACGTTCCCATTCTGGTGGATAAAGAAGGATATAGGAGAGATGGAAGAAGCTGACGATGCCTTGATGTTAATTATCTTCGTTTTATCCTTCTTCTACACAGATTTCCAGCCTTTTATCCACTGTCTATCGAGCTTTTAGTGGTAAGCGAGCCCCCATTCCAGAAATACGAGACTGTGATTCACTAGACGTTTCCTTTCTCACGGTTAAGTGGGTTGTCTAAACTCTTGTCGAAATAAAGAAATGAGTACGATTATTATAGAGATCCTAACAAAGAAGCTGTTATAAGATATTCGAAAAGAGTGTATTTTTCTTTTTCTTCAAGCAGACAGGCTACAAACTTCGATTCAGTAAGAACAATTACAGTGAATTATATGTTTACGGTGGCTCGCAAAGGTACTCGTACGCTTACCATAAAAATCTTTTACGTGTATACTGTACGTGTTACATAAACATTTTGAAATTTCATTTACATTATAATGACACGCGATTGCGATGGTTATACTGGCAAAATGCGAACCCGATCTGACAATATATATACCAGTTGCAAGATGTTTACTGCAAACTTACCGCTAGTAAAAAATTGCTGTGATATACATATACTGTGAAATACACTGTGATAGCCACACCATACACTAAGTATAGCTCGTTTATTTTTGTGATTTCTGCAAGATATGTACTTGTAGTAAATGTATCTTGTAACTTTTGTATACATTTCTACAATCGTTTCGAATTTTATCGATATATCCATGGCAGTTGCATGTCATTATAATACTAATGAAATTACAAAATGTTTTACAATGTTCATAAAAAGTATTGAGTCAAATTTTGCTAGCCATTGTATTCAAAGACTACAGGGAAAAATCCAACAAGAAATCCAACGTGCTATTTTTCATAGGGAGCAGTTTTAACATTCAGTCGTTGCTAATTGTCAAACTTTATCCATTTAAACTATATTTTACAAATTTTATAATTAATTTATTATTAAAAATACAACAAAATTTTAAGGGCATCAAAATATCGCTTAATTAATATAATATAAAATGTTGCTTAATAATTATATCTTTGATTTTTACGAAACTTTATTAATGCGCAGAATTTTGATGTCTATTTTTCAAAAACTTACATCCTTGAATTTAATTGGTTTTTTTTGTTTACAATTGTACCGGTTGTTATTAAAATCTTTCTGTTTAAGCATGAAGTAGCAGTAAAATCATAAAAAACTACAACATGGTACTTGTCATGTTTTTCTCCTACGATCTTTATTTATATCCTTGAAAATACATAGAGAAAGTAATCGTTCGTTGTATAAACAAAAATTGTTCTTAACGGGAAGACGATTGGAAGTATGTTTAATTAGATGAAGTCATTATACTTAAGCATTATTTGAAATCGTTATACGTCATAATTATGTAAATTTTAAATTAAAAGTGGGCAGATAATTAATACAATTCAACCTCGGTTATTCGGAATTTTAAAACGAGAACTAAAATCCTCTGAGAGGGTTGTGAAGATTTTATCTTGTCGAATTTTTCAAGAGAGGTTTAGTAACTGAAATCTACTTACGAAAACTATGTATAATAATCAATCATGTAATCATTTATATAATTTCTGGAGAACTCGTGAAAGTTTTTAATTCTTTTGTAGATTTTTATGTCATTAATAATACTTATCGATCAATAATTGTACTTCTATTCAAAAGTCGTATAAGAAACATTAGACTTTTAATATGTTTCTAATATTTGATATAGATTAGGAATTTCAAATTACTTTTTTTAGTGAAACTGTTGATATAACAACACCCGAACTTTCTTAACCGTATGAAATATTACATCAATCCCTTAATATCTTTTAATGGCTACCTAATTTATTGTAGTTTGGTGCACATGTAATAAATACGTTGAAAACTATAAATTCAAGCTACGACTACAATACTTTTAGCTGTTTTTGACCAAACCAGATCACGTTTGGCAAGATAAATAAATTATAAATTTATTAAACCTAACCCCAACCCTAACTTAACGCCACTTGAATTTTACTATATATAAATGAAAGATTATAATATAATAAATAAATAAAATAATATAATAAATAAAAATATAATATAATAAATAAAAGAGAACTGTGTAAAAAATATAATATGAAAACATTTTTCCACGTTATTCTAGAAAATATCGTACATTTTTAATTCATAATATCGATTCAATTTAATTCAGTAACTTTTTAATACCATATAC